TGCTCTGTGCATGACAGGGGGCGGCGCCCCAACTCCCCAATCAGCCCTGCTCTGAGCCGGACCAGGGGCTGCACCTAGGGATTGGGCCTGCCCTCTGCCACCCAGGAGCAGGCCTAAGCCAGCAGGTCGTTATCTCCTGAGGGGTCCCAGACTGCGAGAGGGCATAGGCCGGGCTGAGGGACCCCCCCGAGTGCACAAATTTTTGTGCACCGGGCCTCTAGTATATATATAAGTTACTCCTTATTCAGACTTACATTTAGCCATAAGAACTTTCTTAAAGTGAGATTTCTCTAGTTAAGCTCAAGTAACATACAGCTGGTTTTGAAAGCAAAACAATTTATGCAGTTTCTTAAATGTAAATTACCTGTGTGAGAAATATGCTAATATTAACTGTTCCAATGGTGTGATCATCTTTTTAACTTTCTCATAAGAACTTTCTTAAAGTGAGATTTCTCTAGTTAAGCTCAAGTAACATACAGCTGGTTTTGAAAGCAAAGCAATTTATGCAGTTTCTTAAATGTAAATTACCTGTGTGAGAAATATGCTAATATTAACTGTTCCAATGGTGTGATCATCTTCTATTTAACTTTCAGGAGAATCCTCATTGACACTGGAGAACCAGCAATTCCAGAATATATCATCTGTTTAAAGCAAGCTCTGAACGAATTTAACACAGCAATCCAGGAAATCATTGTGACTCACTGGCATCGTGATCATACTGGAGGCATAGGAGATATTTGTAAAAACATTGATAATGGTAAGCAGAATATACACATTAAGCTCATGAGAAAACCTATGTTTTCAGAATAATTTGTTTCCATTACAGAGCTAAGTAAGCTAATAAACAATTTACTGAATACCTTATATTTAAATGGTACTTTTATACATTAATATAACTTGAATACTGTGACTATTTTTAACAAAGGAAAAAAGTAGAAATCCTATTTTCTTTTTCAAATCTCTTCTCCCTCTTATTTTTCCCCTTTGCCCAGTGATCATCAGTTTTAATTTAGTCTGTGTGACAGTTGCTACTTCAGATTTCATACTGTTGTTGACTATTTACTGTGTGCCAGGCACTGTTGAGGTAGTTGCTGTTATTGTCCACATTCTAAACATGATCTCAGGTCTTCCATAACTTTCAGTTATCTGTATACTGTATAATACTGATGAAAGATCTTTGTTCTTGAAATTTATTCAGTATTAACACTTTACCATCTCTCTCCTTATTCCCTCATCCCACCATCATAAACATAGATTCATTCATTCATTTCTTTAACAAATATTCAAGTTGCTGCTATGTCCAAGCACTGTTTTTGGCACAAAGGATGTAGCAGTGATTAAAACAATGACTCCACTTTCATTGGGCTTCATTCTAGTAGGGAAGGTAAATGGTAAGTAAGTAATAGATCAGATGGTGATAGGTGCTATGAAGAAAACTAAACTAAGTGAAGAAAAGAGGGAAAGAGAATAAAGTGGAAGAGAGCAGTGGCTATTATATTAGGGTGGACAGGGAGAGAGAGTAAGCTATATATGTATCAGAGCTGGGCATACCAGGCAAAGGGCATTGCAGGAGCAGATACTAGAATGGGGGTGTGCTGGCCATGTTCAAGGCAGATAAAGGACAAGGAGGTAATGAATGTTCATTCACAACTAAATATTTTTAAGCATCTTCTTTTTAGGCCTTAAGACTGCAATTGGGATGGAAAGATATTCTCAGCTACACCAGCCAATATCACCAGGCTGCTCATTATAAGAAACTGTCTAACCTAACTTTCTTACCCTCTTCCCTCCTTTATTCCAATCCAGGGGAACTGTATGCCACAGGAAACCATTCTCTCCCACTCTGACTTTTCCTCACTCTTCTTTCTCTTGTCTATCTACCCATAAAATTTTGTCAATTAAAAAACTATGCTGAGGATCCTTAATTAGCTTTGGTCAACTCTTAGCATGAGGGTCAATTTGAAAAATTAAAATGTTTATGGCCTGCTTTTTTTCCTTCACAAGTCAATTTTACTGAGCTTGAATTTACATACATAAAATGTACCTGTTTTTTAAGTGTGTAGTTTATCAAAAGCTATGTGACCAATCCCATCAAGGTAAAGAACACTTACCCAGAAAGAGGTCCCTTTCTTACCCTACAGAGGCCCCCTGCCGTGATTCCCCTCCACCTCCAGCACCCACTCATCTACTTTATTTCACTGTGGCTTAGTTTTGCCTGTCTGCAGTGTCACATAATGAACGCATGCAGGATCACTCTCTGGCTTCTTTCACGCAGCATCACATCTCTGAGATTCACCCATGTTTCACGTATCAGTAGTTTGTTCCTTTTTATTGCCAAATAGTAATCGATGGTAGGAATACACTACAATTTATTTATCCATTCACCTGTTAATGGACATTTGACTTAACTTTCTCTAAGTTAAAAATTGAAATAGTTTTGGGTTCCTTTAAAATAATGAATTTTTACATAAAAGATTACCTATGAAATTAAAGAAAATCAAGGAGAAATTTGATACTGCTTTATAGCCACTAAACTTTTAATGCTTTATTTGAAAAGTGGCTTGATGTCTTTCATTCTGAACTTTATTGAAGCTAGACCAGCTGCAATGTAGACTTTGAGTTACTCAGCCCTGAAAATGTACAGAGGTACCTTTCAGAATCTTCCCCCAAAAGTCCCTTGTATTTCTTCATTCCCTAAATCCTTAACCATTACCATTCTTGTTCATTTTGTTTTATTATCATTTCCTTCGTTCTACATTGTTTTACTGTTGTTGTTTTTTAATTGTTAGTATGGCTCCTTTACATTGCTAACAATCTATATTTTTTTACAGGCCACACCAAAATTATGAATGCCGTTTATAATATTTCTGTAGGAAGATAGAGTAATTCTGAAGCAACCTGCTTACAAATTTTTTAAATAAAATCAGTGTTTCATTTCGGAACTCGTGGCTTACAGGGAGCCAGAAGTTTACTAGATGTGAGAACTATATAGACCCAAGCTGCTTGAGTGTTTTGTTTTGGGTTTGTTTTTGAGTAAATCTTATAAAATATATTTTGTTATCTATTTTTGCAGCTGAAGTTGGGTCATTGCCATTTATTTCACATTCAAGTCCTAGAGTCAGATGTTTGCTTCTATGCTATTCAATTAGAATGTGTTTCTATTAGAAAGTATTACACGTAAATAATATCACATGTTTGTATCTGCTTAAATATTTAGCCTTAGTGATGATGTTATAATTCATTATTCAGAACTTAGCAAATGACTGTTAAAATAATTATGTAAGTAGTTGCCAGGGGCTGGAAAGAGAGAATAGAGAGTGACTACCATTACGTATGAGGTGTCTATGAGGGGTTTTGAAAATGTCCTAAAATTAGATGGTGGTGGTTGAACAATTCTTTGAATAGACTAAAAAAAAACACTGAATTTTATGCTTTAAAAGGGGGAATTTTATTGTATGTGAATTATATCTCAATAAGCTTTGACTAAAAATAATAATTCTTACTATACTAGAGGCCCAGTGCACAAAATTCTTGCACTCTGGGGGAGTCTCTCAGCCTGGCCTGTGCCCTCTTGCAGTCTGGCAGCCCTTGGGGGATTTCCAGCTGCCGGACCTAAGCCAGCAGTCGGATATCCTTAGCGCTGCCGCAGAGACGGGAGAGGCTCCCGCCATCGCCACTGCTCTCACCAGCTGTGAGCCCAGCTTCTGGCTGAGGGGGAGCACACTGACCACCAGGGGGAAGCTCCTGCGTTGAGCTTTTGCCCTCTGGTGGTCAGTGCACATCATAGCAACCAGTCATTCTGCATCAGGCTGAAACGAGCTCTCCAACATATCCTGAGGGGTCCCCGATTGCAAGAAGGTGCAGGCCAGGCCGAGGGACCCCAGCGGTGCATGATCGGGGCCAGGGAGGGATGCAGAAGGTAGGCCAGCCAGGGAGGGAATGTGGTAGGGATCCAGGATGTGTCTGGCCCTCTTGCTCAGTCCCGATCAGCCAGACCCCAGTAGCAAGCTAACCTACTGGTTGAGCGTCTGCCCCTGGTGGTCAGTGTACATCATAGCGACCAGTCAACTGTCTGCCCCCTGGTGGTCAGTGCACGTCATAGCAAGCAGTTGAGCAACCTTAGGATATCATCAGACACTTAGCATATTAGGCTTTTATTATATAGGATGATTGCTTTCAGCATACCCTTCTACATCCTGTCTGTATAGATTGCTATTGAGAATAGGATGTATGCTTTTATATTTACATATAATTTTTAAAGCTGACACAGCATTATTTTATAGTATGGCATGTGTTTTGTAATTTTGAGTTTTTTTGGAAATATTGTCTGTCAAAGGTCTCATAACTAGAAATATACATCCACTTCTTTACTACAAAACAAAATTATACAGATTAAAAATAAAAACAAACCAAAAAAACCTCACCATATCACTCTATAATGGAGACAGTTCCCAGAATAGCATATTATTTCTTGCTTCAGCCTCAAAGATACAAAATAATGGAGTCTGAGGCTAGAGAGAGAAAATCCAGTTGCTGTTGGGTTATTTTATTTTTATTATATTGCGGTTTTCTATCTTCTTTATCCTTCATACTTACCCAGATTTCTATGCGTTGTCAGTTTTTCTCTGGATGTCTTTTCTCCCTCTGCATTTCCATTGGTAACACCCTGGCGCTAATATTACCTTCCAGCTGGGTTATTACAGTCATCCCCTCCTGGTCTTTTGATCTCTCCCCCTCCAGGCTCCCCACCTGCAGCTGCCATATTGATCACTACAGCTGCCATATTGATCGACCTGTTAACACTAAAGTGCATACATGGGCCACATACAGCAAAGTATAAATTCCTCTATTCTGTGAAAGGCAATTTAGGGCCCTCCAGGATCTGAGCTCACTTTACTAATCCTACTTATCTTTACTCTTCCCAGCCAGTATTTTGTGTTAGACAAATTGGTAGTGTTCTGCTGTTGCCCGTATGCCATGTTCATTCTCATTTCTATGGCTTTACTAATGCTGTTCCCTTTACCTGTCTGAACCTTTTTCTCATCCTGCTCATCCTGTAAGCCACACCTCAAGTTTTATATTTATGAATCCTTTCCTAATTGTTTCTCCTTTCTCCAACCTCATTTTGCTTTAATTAGCTGAATTGTCCATTTAGTATTCATTAAATGGTACTGAGTATAGTTGTTTAATTCTTTCCTGTTTGTAAGTTTTAGTGCCCCAACTATGAGAGCTTTTAAGCACTTTGATGTCATGGCGCTTACATTCATATTACTGGTTAAATAACTGGCAATCAGCTATTGATTGGCTAATTAATTAATTGATTTTCTTTGCATTGATGACAGGTAGTATGGGTTAAATTTGTTTTAATGTTTTAATATCTTAGCCCTGAGTTTGGGGCTTCCTCTAAGCATTCCTAGAAAGAGCTTTATATTATCACTAGAGGCCCAGTGCACAAAAATTTGTGCACTCGGGGGGGGGGGTCCCTCAGCCCATCCTGTGCCCTCTCACAGTCTGGGACCCCTCAGGAGATAATGACCTGCTGGCTTAGGCCCGCTCCCGAGTGGCAGAGGGCAGGCCCAATCCCTAGGTGCAGCCCCTGGTCGGGCTCAGAGCAGGGCCGATTGGGGAGTTGGGGCGCTGCCCCCTGTCATGCACAGAGCAGGGCGGATCGGGAGGT